CGTCCAGATGACGTCCAGAGTGTATAACTCAGCGACAAAAAGGCTTTCAACGCGGCAAGGCGTTGTTTCCGCGGTTGCAACATTATCCAAGCCACGCACGGTCTTTTGGTCTTTTGCAGCTCTTGTCCGTCACTCTCCCAGAAGATGCTCTACGTTTCTAGCTTGAAAGAAGACACTTGCAACTGGTGACGCTTGACGAGCTTTGACAAGTTTAGGATTTGAGGCCATTTCCAACTCAATCGGCCATTCCTATCCGATCACTCATCATGAGTCTTCTGCCACCCATGCCATCCATGCCCATGGCTATGATGCCCATGTCTACGCTAGCAGTGCCTGTGAATGCGCAGCTGGTGGGTTTCCAAGGTTCTTTGATGGTGCCAGTAGCAGCTGTGGTGGTTAATGTGCCTGCTTCCCCTTGTGGAACACCATGCTCTACTTCAATCTCAGAATCGGAAGCAAGCATGTCGCGGCAAAACTCAGAAGAATCAGAGCAAGGCACCTGATAGGGTTGCTTCAGCGATATATTGTTGTTTAAGTGGAATAATGCATGTGTTCCTCAAGCTACAAGTATCGCTATTAGGTTGGTGGCCATGGCTATCAGGTTGGTGGCCATCGCTTCTAGGGTGGAGGCCATCGCTATTATATGTTGGAGGCCATTGCTTCTAGGGTGGAGGCCATCGCTACTAGGGTGGAGGCATGTGGAGGCCATCGCTACTAGGTTGGAGGCCATAAGAACTTCACACTTATGTCAACGTCTCCCGGAGGTATTTGCTTGGAGGGCTCGGTTGCTGGCCGTGTCTGGGACTTGTCCCAACGATCCAAAGGTTGTCGCTACCCTGGAAAACTGCGGCGATGGAGAGCGCTTCACCTTGGCTTTGGAACTTCAGGGGCACGTATTGGCAGCTGCCAGGTCTGCCTGTGCTAACTATGTTCTGCAGAAGATTATTCAAGTGCTGCGTCCTCAAGCATGTCAGTTCATCATCGATGAGATCATGAAGACTCCTGCAGATGTACCGATCTTGGCACGACATCAGTACGGCTGTCGCATCCTACAACGACTCTTGGAACACTGCCAAGCCCAACAGATGGAAGGACTTGTGAAGCTTTTGTTGGAGGATGCCACAGCTCTTGTACGCCACAATTACGGTACCTTTGTGATGCAACAGATCTTTGATTTCGGTATCTTGGCTTGCCAGGTTTAGTCGGATTTAGTCTCAACATGTCTCAACGTGATTTCAATAGGTTCACAGTCCACAGTCTCTTGCAAGACTTGTTTGTTGATTTGTCTTGCAGTGTCTTGCAGGTACGGAAGTGCAGCGACAGCAGCTTGGGGAATGCTTGTTTAGTACTTTGGGCGCTATGGGCAATGATGAGAATGCCACCCAGGTGTTGCAGAAGGCTTTGATCCATGCACCACAGAAGGTTGCTTTGGCCCGTGCCTTGGTTCCGCAGCTTGCGCAGATTGCACGTGGTCGCCATAGCCATCATACAGTCCTTGCTGCGGTGCAACTGTTGTCACCTGAAGACTTGAAAAGGGCTAGCGCACTTCTTTCTCAGAAAGTGCAGAAGCTATGGGCATCTCGCTACGGACGCTTGGTGGTCAAGGCTATTCCTAGCTTGCATGACAAGTGCATGGGCATGACGAAGCGGGAGGCAGCTGCTGCTTAGGTTTGGCGAGAGTAGAGGGTCCGCAAAAATCGCGGTTCCCTGTATATTCCCACCAGAGGAAGAATTTTCAAAGCATGTCTTAGCGGGCTTTGTCGGATAGTACAAGTCTGCACTAAGATTTGAAGGAGGTGTGAGAAAGTCTTGTCCTCCCATTCTTTTTGCTGCTGGTGTTTGGTGTTGCTTTCTTCTCAGAAGTCACAGTGAGAAGTGTTTGTTGATGCTTGTTGGTTTTTTCTTTGGGAGTACAAGCACACCTGCATGAATATATTTTTAAGGTCCTGGTGCTCTCAAGAGCGTAGGCCTGCCTTGTCCAGTGCAGGTTTTGAAGAAATCTCCACCAAGGGACATTTTCTCGTAGGTTGGAGTGAATTCAACTGTAAAGTTCTTGCTAGCTCAGCCTAGCTTTCCATCCCCATGCTTTGTGCCCAGAGTCTAGATCTGTGACGTTCTTCTTGCTTACAGACGTCACGGGGACGGGCCGAGCAGGGTCAGATTCCAGCGGGCTGGATTTGTCGGCGCCTTACGTGTCGACACCACGTCCAGATGACGTCCAGAGTGTATAACTCAGCGACAAAAAGGCTTT